GCTAAGAATAATTTACACAAACTTTTTATTTCATCAAAATTATGTGTTTCATTAAACTTAAAAAATACTAAGAATAATTGCCTTAACAAATATTTTTGAAGATTTGCGGTGAGTGAGGGATATAAGAATACTTAAATGAAAAAAGCTTTATTAGGATGGTTTATATTTATAAGAGATAGATTATCTTGCTGGGTCTGACTCCAATCTATATTTGGTGTCATGTCAACTCTATTGAAGATAAAACATCGATATGAAAGATCCTAGAATTGTATGGTCGCCTTGATTAGTGAATTTTCAACCATCATTGAAAGAAGATGCGCAATATGCCTATACTTTTGACAAAAATCTTGATGTCTCAATGAACTCATATGTTTCCATATGTCTATCAACTCTTTAAGATTATTTTGCTTAAGGTGGAGGTGTGTTTCTTTAGGCAAAGTGGAAACATAACCTATTTCCAAACAATCCTCTTTCTTCTATTGAGTTCTCTCTGACTTGGTCATTACTTCATTGGGTGTTTCACACTTAGTGTAAATAGATGAGGAATAAACTAAATGTTCTATGGATTCCATAAAAACTCTTTGTTAAAACTATCTTTAAGGCAAATATTCTTCATGTAATTTTATGAATGGTGATATGAATTATGCAAACAAAGGGAAAACAAAAAAAACATAAAGTTAGTTAGCAAGTAATATAAAAAAAAAAAGGGAAAGGAAATAGGTTAGAGTATAACACATAAATAAAGGCATGATTTCTACGTTTTAAGTTAATTTTATAGGATGGCTCCACCTATAGGTTAGGTCCTTAAAGTTGACTATATATAGTTTATGTTAAATATAAAGATTTTCTAAATTATTCTTCATATCATTGTCTATGACAAATTAGTAAGGCACTCAAATTTTCACTTATTATAGGCTACAAGTGAAAAATGTTTATTTTGAGTGAGAGTATTTCACTAGCTCATAATATAAGTACTTTATTTCTTTTTAAGAGACAGAGTTTGGGTTTAAAGCTCATGTTATGTATATGCACATGAATGACAAGATAATTAATGCTTGAAAAATAAATAAAGAAATATCTTTTTAAGGAAAACCCCAAAATCATTAGGCTTAGATAACACAAATTCATTTATTAGCTTGACTCTCTAGTTTTCAATAAAGTTGTTAAACTCTCATAACATATAGATTCGTGAACTAATTACTAGAGACAATAAAATGAGTCGCTATCAATATTTTTTTCTTAGATGAGATCCACCACCTAACTAAATCTGTCTCTTTTAAAAAGAAATCTCAAATTTGACTTGGATATCTTTGAAAGGTAGATTCTAGTCTATGAAACTATAACTAAGTTTGAAAATATGGTTACGCACAAGAAATATTATATACCCTTACAATGCTTACCCAAATGATGGTATCAATTGATTTTGTATTATCCAAAGCCTTAATACATTTTTTACTAAATAATTTATTGCTTTAAAATCAATAAAATCTTTCAATAATTTAGTAATATTTTATTTTGAGATTTAAATCCTCTAATAATTTAGTAAGATTGAAAAATTATAATTTTAACTTTCTTTAAAAAAATATAATTAAACTTTCCAATAATTTGATAATATTTAATTACAAGATTTAAATTCTCCAATAATTTGGTAGAATTGGAAAATTATAAATTTATTTAAAACATCATTAACTCTTTTAATAATTTGATAAGATCTAATTTGAGATTTAAATCTTTCAATAGTTTGGTAAGATTGATTAAAAATATACTTTTTTTAAAAATAATTAAATCATTAAATAGTTTGGTAAGGTTCAATTTGAGATTTAAATTATCCAATAGTTTGGTAAGATTAAAAATATATTTTTATATAAATTAATTTAAATACATAAAATAAAAATAAATAAATATAAAAAATATCAAAAGAATTGGCTCGACTTGGCTTGGCTGCTTGTAGAAACACAAAAAACCTAACTTGATAACTTGGCTTGGCTCAACAAGTGGCTTAGCTCACAACAAATATGATGCAAGTTATTGGTCGAGTTGCGATTGGGTTGGGTTAGGGTATGATAAAACACATAGATCCCCTAGGTTTACTTAATCCCAAAATGACACCATATGATGCCAAGTATAAACACCAAAATCCTTTTTTTTTCTCATTTTTTCCTTTTCTTTCTTTTCCTTTAGCTAAATTCTTATCTTTCTCTAAAACACTTTGAATATTAGCCAAAAAACCTAATAAAACCCAAATTTTGATTAAAAAATGTAGAATTTGATAAATAATCATCGAAAAATTCAATCAAAATCTTCAAAAACCAAGATTTTTCATAGAAAAAAGTTTTGCAAAAATCCTAAAAAAACCAAAATTTAAATCCTATCCCTTTTTTTATCTAAATTCTTTAAACGCCTTCTTTATATCAAATCCCAAACTCCAAAACCGAATCAAAACTTCTCCAGAACACTTATTAGAACAAATTTCCCAAAATTTTTTTCTACTGCCTTACACTTTTATGATTTTTTTTCTACTCTCCTCTTTGATTTTTCTTGATTGTTAAGGAGCTCTTTAAATAGGCTTTTAATCATAAACACACTAAAACTAAATTTCTCAATCATGTCCTAGTCGAATCTAATATTGGATTTCTAATTCAAGTTTACCTTGCATTCTTTTTTCCAAATAAGCCCTGATACATTCCTTTTTAATTGGAATAACTAATCTTTCAATTAAATGATCCTAATTAAAATTCAATCTTTTTTTCCAAACAGATTTTCCTTTTTTCAATCTTAGATAAACTCTCTCTCTCTTTTTTTTTTTTAATTTTTTGAAATACTGTAAATCAATTAATAAACAAACCTAAACTAAATAAAACAAAATACCTGGATCCTAAAATTTAATTCTAAACATAAATTAGACACGAGACTAAACGAGGTGTCTATAAATTATTTTAAAAAATATATAAATTTAAAGAATTAAATAAAAATTTTTATGTCGATTTAAAAATTAAATAAAAAACTCCATGTCATTTTTAAATTTTAAGTAAAAAACTTCATGTCATTTTAAAAAAGATTTATTAATCTATTCAAAAATCTATTTTGAATATATTTTTTATTCAAAATTTTATATTTATATAAAATAAGAAACATTATTTTCAATAACTTGATTTCTTCCCCGTATAGGATTAAAGGCAGTAAAGGCTGTTTTGATTGTCTATTTTTAAATCTTCTATAATATAAAATTTTAATAAAGAATAGATTCAAAATAATTTTTGCAATAGGAAAATATTATGAATAGATTAATAAATCAATTTTTAAAATGACTTGAAAATTTTTACTTAATATTTTAAAAGATATGAAGTTTTTTATTTAATTTTTTAAATTGATATAAAAATCTTTGCTTAATTTTTTAAAATAATATGAAATTTTTAAAAAATAAATTTTGAAAATTTTAACTTAATTTTGATTTTAAAAAATCTGTTTTCTGTTAAAAATATATATAACGAATAAAATATATTTTAATTAAAAAAATTAAAATATTATTTTAAATTTATAATTTTAAAAAATATATATGAAATATAAAAAAAATATGAGATAGTAGCATCTTTGGTTCATAAACTTTAAGCGAAATTCTATTTTGGTCATTTTATCTACCACGTGAGATACCAACTATATGTCATCCATGTAGCACCAACCGGCATATATTGTTAATTTAGATGATTCTATTGACGAATGGACCTAGATAGGATAATTTCGAGCAATTTTACTTAAAATAAAATTTAAGTCTAAATTTAGATAATATAGATACTATTTACTTTTTAAGTTTTAATTTTAATTTTGTTGTTAGACAAAAGGTCGAGAAAAGAGAAGAAAATTAAAGTTAAGTTTTAGTTTTTATTTTTGTTGTTAGATAAAAGGTTGTGAAATGAAAAAAAAAAGTTTATTGGTTTGGTGGAGTTAGAGGGATAGAAACAGAGATTATAACATTTTTTATTGATAAAAATAAAATTTAACAGCGTTATTGACAGTGTTATTATAGTTAACGATGTGTGAAACACACTACCCTTATAAAATTTTATTTTGAGCTAATTCAAAAACTTTTAATATTTAATTGAGTAAATTAAAAATAATATTCTTAATTAAAAATACACTTATACATTGCATCTTGAATTCAAGATTAGGCCTTTTAACTTTAGCCGCAATACTCAATTGATAAACTGAAAGTGCTATTGGGTTGGACCCTAGTAAGGACTTTGGCCCAATGTTTGCTCTTCTTGCTTCAAAAAGTTGGGTTCAAGTTCAACTCCCTTTCCAATAAAATTCTAAATTGATATATTTTTTTTAAATTTAAAAAAGTGAAAAAAATACACCTACCTTGCCTCTTGTAAAAAAAAAAATCCTCTCCTATAAAAATATTAGCGGAGATCTCCGTTAATTTTTTAAATGCTAATGTAAAGCTAAATTACACAAACTTTTTATTTCACCGAAATTATGTGTTTCATTAAACTAAAAAAATTAAGAACAGTCGCCTTAACATATATTTTTGAAAATTTAGAGCGAGGTAATATAAGAATACTTGAATGAAAAAAATTTTAGTAGAGTGATTCATATTTATAAGAGATAAATTATCTTGCTAAGTAAGTCTAAAAACTTAATCTCTTATGTATAAAATAGTAATTATATATGATAAAAAATTTTAAATTTTTTAATTAATTTTCACACAAAAAAAAATTTCTAAAATTTAAGGTTTGATATAACCAGACAATTTCTATATTTATTACGTTTAAAATAATAATAATTCATATATTTATATTATATTTTATATAAAAATATATGTTATAATTTATTTGATATAAAAAATACAATATAAATTTTTTAATTTTTATTAAATTATATAACTTTTAATTATATAAATTTTATATTATTTTATTTATCATATTTGAGATTATCGATCTAATTTGCTATTCGACTTTTTTTTTTCTTTTTCTTTTCTTAAATAGAAAAAAATGTGCCCACCGGGTGGAATATTCTAGTTCAAGTGCTCAAGGAACCACCCAACAAAACCCCTCCCTTTTCCTGAAAACGCTCTCTATTTGCTTCAGTCCTTTCCGAAACAAAAACCAAAAACCTTACTCTTTCTCCGATCTTTACATACATTTTCCCGAGAATGAGCTCCGCTAGCAACTCCAAAACCCCAAAAATTTTCTCACCACCCAAACAACCCCATCCTCTCCTAAACCTACAGCAAGCAGTCTCTGATTTCCAAACTCACTGCACTTCTCTCTTCCAACAAACTCACCATCAGTTGAAGGACGCTTTTAATTCCACTTTCGCTCAATTTAATCCGCCTTCTTTTTCTCCAAAAGGCCCAGTTTTTGCTCGAATTGCTGATTCTAGTAAGACCCAGATTTATTTGAGTAAAAAGTCAGGGGCTGCCATGTCGACTGAGGCAATAGAAGAGAGATTGGCTGGGATTCCAGTTTATGCTTTGAGTAATTCAGAGGGGGAATTCCTGTTGGTTTCGGGTGTTTGGAATAAAATATCACTTGGGTTGTTGTGTTTCAAGAAGGAGGATGCTGAAGCTCTTTTGGAACGGATGAAGAGTATAGATCCCGGCATGAGAAAAGAACGTTCTAAAGTGGTTGCCGTTGCTCTCAACAAGGTCATTTTCTTTTTTTATTTTTTCCCTATATGTTTGCTTTTTAAAATGCTTGTGATAGATTGAATTTGTGTAGAAAATGTACAAAGCTAATGTTCTGCTTCCTTGTTGTGTTTGCTACTTGCTTTTAACTTCCAAAGGCAAAAAAAAAAAAAAAAAATCTTTAGATACAAAAGAAAAAAGTAACATCTTTGAGTAATTTAAAGTTAAAATTTTGTGAATAACATGCATTATTTTACTTTTATATTGGAAATTTGAATGTGTGTTACATTTCAGCTATTTGTTCATTTTCAATGAAATATGATTATACTTTTTACTATTTCTTTTTGGCAACATTTTGAGGAATCAAACAAATAGCAAAAGCTAAAAAACAAATTGAGTCTGTCGTTAGATTGTTAAGTTGCTGTGCTTTTAAATTTTAATTAGTTAGTTTTATTGTACAATAAATTGTTTGGTTGGATTATATGAATGAGATAAATATTCTAGGAGTCAAACTTGGATATGGCTGTTGCAGGTTTTCGAGCTGAAGGTTGACGGTGCGGCACTCAGGTTGATACCAGAGTTGACTCAGATCAAGAATGCACTTAGAGTGAGTGGTTACTTACAGAATGGGCAGATTTTTTTAGGGATTTTCTTCTTGTGGTATGTGGATAAAATGAGTTTTATGCTCTCTACTTTGAGTTCTTGTAAGTTTCATCATTGATGGGACTGCTTGGTGGAGAGTTGATCACTTCAACTGAAAACATATGTTGTTTTAACTTTTACAGCTCAGCATCATTTTCAGGTGTAAATAGATGAATCCCATATTCCCACTTCTTTCTTTCCTTCATGCAATACATGTGATACGTTTTAATAACCCTCAAAAAGGCAAATGCCTGACATGAGGACTTGAACCATTGATGGTCTTAAACCTTTACCTGCTCGACCATATGTCTGACTGCTATATCTGAAACGAATTATCATTTGAATTCTTTTTGCATTAAACTAGTTTACATGTTCTCATTGCCTGTGTAGAGAAATATCATATATGGAGCCTGATCATCTTCGGTGTTTGAGTATAAACTTTTCACTTTCAAGATACTTGTTCTCCTGTGGGACCTTTGTAGTTGTTGGCTGTGATGTCTCTGTTAAGCAGAGCTCAATGGCAATTTCTTCTTTCCTTCAATGAATTTATGTATGCAGAATTACTTTCCTCTTGGGGTTTCTATACAAACTGAATGAAGCCCCTATAAATGGCCAAATTGTCAGTTGTTGATTTCATCAGTAGTTTCCTTTTTTGATTAAGAAGTATGGTAGAGAAAAACTGGTGCATTGCTTAAAAGTAAAATCCTTTACCAATGTGATTCTTAGAAAACCCGTTAAGTCTCTATAGATTGGGAGTATTTATATCAAGAAAGAAATATAGAGTGAACTTAGAATTTTGGAGAACCTAAATTTTGGTTCAAAAGTATGTTGAAAGAAATCAAGATAATGCATTTTGTTTGGAGATTTTGAACAGTACCAGCTATGGTCATAGCATTTACGAGGTTTTTTTTTCTTCTCTCAGCAACAAAGGCTAGTTATTTTTATTGTTCTTCATTCAATATAGTTTTCTTCGTCTTCTCTTTTGTGCATGCATGTCTGTGTACATGCAGGCAATATTCCATTTTTTGCGCATGTACTTGTAGAGATTTGTAGTGTTTATGTATACCAATTTGCTTATTGTTTGTAAAGTATGTACTGAAGCATGCATACAAGAAAATTATTGGTTTTTTATTTTTCCTTTGGATAGGAAAGGGAAAAAGCTGGTTTCTCTGATGATAGCTTCCCCGGTGTTCCAGTTTTCCAGGTCCTTTCTAGGTCCTTTCTAATCATATGTAGCATGTGTGTGTGTGTGTGTGCATTGGTTATTTGGAAACAAAGAATAATCATATAACTTACTAAAATATGTGGTGCTAAAAGTAGTTTTAAAGCATTCTCTGTAAGAAAAAAAAAAAAAAAAAGATTCCGAAGCGATCTCAATGTGCATGAATTCGTGTGGTTGTTATGTTTTATTAGTGAGATCTAGCATGCTCTCAATTCTGCATTGTTTCTACTGGCTTGCATATTGTTGTTTATGTCTTTTATTTTATGAGCACGTTTCATTCATGCATAATCATTACTAGTTGCTGATCTCTGTGATTTAAGGATAAAGTGGGAAAAACCAATCTCCTTGTATGGATTTTCTCTGATCCTAAGCTGAAGTACAAGTTCTAGAATGACATCCAACAATGCAGGAACAAGAATTTTTTCTCTTTTTTATTTAAAAGAGATTAATAGCTATGTAGTAGCAAATGTTTTAGCATGGAATGTTCATGCTACTGTTTTCATAGTTTTTTTTTTCTATTTTCTTCAGGTTAATTTTTGTGGCTGAGGTTAGACTTTTTTTTTTTTTTAAAGAATGAGGTTATACTCATTTAAGGGATAGGATTTAATCTTAATAAGTTGTTTAAGCTAGAAGATGTACATTTACTGATGTAAATGGAACAATTCAGTTATAATCAGCAATACATTCAAGAATGAGCTGTTTCTTTATTCCCTGGCCTTAGAACCCTCTACTTCCCTCATTCCCCCTCATTTTCCACCTGTTCCAAAGAGCTCTCATTTGCTGGGTGTAATACCATGAGGGAATCTAATCCGAGCTGCAATAAGTTGATCTATTGTCTGAACATGTGATGGCTTTGGACACCTTTTTCCATGTTCTATAAATTGAGAGTTGAGTATCTAGTAATGCCATTAGAATGGAATATGTGATTTATAAAATTCATTAAGCATTTGTGCCAGCAATATTTGTTACTCTACAATTTTCTTGTGCATTCTGCTCTTTCTGCATGATCATATCAACTCATCTTTCAAAGTTCTGGGTTTCTACATAATTAATTACAATATGTTTTTGTTCCCACATTACACAGAACGGTCATGTGCTTTAACCTGAGGTGGGTTTTACAATGTTTTCCAATTTCTGTCTGGGTCTGGTTTTGGAATTTGATCCTATGCTTTGCTGGGCTGTGCAGCCTGGAGGTTTTACTATTTAGCTGCATTTGCTCTAAACATCAATCACTTGGGAGAAAATGGCTGTTCTGTAGTTTTATTTGTTAAGTTCATCCCTGAGCACCACTTTGACTTGATACTTACAGCATTTGGAATTGTTGAAATATTTGGCTTACAGTCCAGGAGCTTGGTATTAAGAGCTGAAAATAAGAGCTATCGACCATGTTTCTTTAGAAAGGTTGGTAAACAGATAGCCTTATTATATAGCAGTATTCATGGTTAATCTCCATGTTGTTACTTCAGATCTTCTTATGTTTTGAAGTTCTTTCAGGAGGATTTAGAGCAATCACTTCTACGAGCATCCCGCCAACAGAATCAATTGAATCCTGCTGTTAGACCGGGAGATATTCAGGTATACTGCTGTTTTCTTGAAAAGATTGCTCAGGAGTTAGGACTGTACTTTTCCCTGTTTGCTTAATAAAATTGATTTTATTCACACACACAAACATAGTTTGTAATGTTTCATATTTTGAAGATTTAACTTTCTTTACGCATATATTAAAAAATTTACAGGTTGCTGTTTTTGAGGAAATAATTAAGGGAATGAAAGTAAGTTGCTGTGTTTAAGAAATTTCTGTTCAACAGTTTTTTTTTTTTTTTTCTTTTTGGTGGTGTAGAAAATGTGGCCTTAGGGAGAAGAAACATTTGTTGTTTTAAACTTTAAAGCTAAACAACAACTAAATTTTGCAGGACAGTTCCATGACAACATGGGATGACGTTGTATTCATTCCTCCTGGTTTCGATGTTTCAACTGATCCCACCCAACTACAATAGGTAATGAAATATTTGACTTAGACTAAATTTCTATGCTTTTGCACCATGTCTCTTTTGATGTTTAGGATGAACTCGTGTCATGCAATATGCATAAAGAAACGTTGAAATTTAGAGATTTAATGTTCATTCATTCATTGATATGATAACCATGCAGATGATCTGTCAGGATTATGCTGACCTTCTTCAGCTATGGAGACAAGCTTGATGCTCAGTGCTCTTTCCCCCATTAGTTCTGTTCCGATCTTGTTTTCCCTCAGAAGTAGAATGTAATATTTGTCTTGCACATCAGTTTGAAACCCATGGATCTAATACTTAAAAAGGAGAAAGGGAAAGAAGAAAAATTAGGACATAGTCCTTTGCTCCTAACTCCACTGCCACCACATCAATGAACTATAAATCTACTACCTTTAAAGCATGTCAATTTTCACTGTCAATTTGTGAGGAACTTGACTGCCAATGTGGCTTTGATTGCTTGTTAAAAAATGCTCATTTCACTTTCACAATGGAGTCTTAAGCATAGCTATTAGAGTGTTTCTATGGGAAAGCATTGTTTGAAACACTCACCTAATTTTGACTTTGCCAGCTCGCCACTGGACTTTTGTTACCTGTCCGAGAAACAAGTACCTATAATCATTTTCCAAAAAAAAAAAAAGAAAACACAAGAAATTGAACAAATCAAAAAGAAAAAACAAGGAAATGAAATTGAAGGACAAAAATCAATTTATTTTGTCAACTTAAGCCAAATGTTTAAATCGGCCACTTTACTTTTATGTTTCAATTAAAAATTCATCCAAAAATCAAATGGAATCAAAATTAATGTAGAACGAATGAATTGAAACAAACCAAAGTGGAGTACGGACAAATTATTGGTGGCCTAAGATATAATAGTAAAAAATATCATATTTATTCTAGCATAAAAAATAGTGAATGGTTGTTACAATTACCAAAAAAAAAAAAAATCTAGTAACTCATTAAAGATTAATTCTTTTGAATTTGTTTTTATGAATTAGGAGGAAGCATTTTGAAATAAAATCATAAATATATCAAGTCGATATAGAAAATTGTGTTCTTAAGATCGCATTGAGAGGGAATTAAGCTTAAACGAAATTTAAGATATTTTAATTATATTATAAAAAATAAAATAAAACCTTTTGAATTATGATTAATTTAAAATTTAGAATCCTTGAAGCTATGTGAAATGGCATACTAGTTTTTCATTGCTGTGAGCAAACCTATATCATAGTCGGCCAATATCCAACACAAAGAATTGAAAACTAGTAATTAGCTTAGCTGCATAGGCAAATTCCTTAAGAAAAGAACATGAACCCTACAACATATTTAATCTATTCTTTGCTGTTGCAAACTCAATAATGTAACTGAAGATTATCTTTATTTCTCTCATTGCTGCAAGAAGCTGGTGAGGTAACCCTCTTTTTTGTTTAGATATTCCCAAAACCACCCAACTCCTTGAAAGGAAGATAATTCCCCTCTCCCCAAAACACCTATCCCATCATTGAAGCCGTACAATCATAATGGTATTTTGTCAAGGAGCAAAAATTTTAACTAGTACAAAATTGTTGGGGAAGGGAGCTTTCACTCTTGAGACATATTTATTGTAGTTCGGCTGCTATCTAATTAAAGGATGACCACTTTATGTCATAGGAGGGACCTCTTCCCTCTCAACATAATAATTTGTATTTTTATATTATGTTATTTTATGTAAAACACATATAAAATATATAATTTATTATTATAATTTTTGTTGATATGTTAAATACAAAAAATAATTTTTTTTAATTTTTATCAAAATTTTAAAAAATATCATTTTCATATATTTTTTCATGTTAAATTATCACATCTTATCTAAAATTATTAGAGGGCTAAAATAATAAAAAAAAATTCTCTAAACTTTATCATTTTACTTAGATAAATCTTTATATTTTATTATACTCAAATAAACTCTTAAATTTTAATTTACACTTAAATAAATTTTTAACATTTAATTTATATCCAAATAATCCTTAATTTTTTTAATCTAAATAAGCCCTTAATATATATTAATCTTTTGTTGAAATAAGAGTTTATTAAGATATAAATAAAAAATTTGAAACTTATTTATATGGAATAAAAATATAAATACTTATTTTTAAAAAATAAAATAGTTCAGAATTTTTTTTTAGTATTTTAGCCTTGCTAGATCTATCATAGACCATACATATTTTTAACTTTATTGTAGTAATTTTTATGACTAGACACTTTAGTACTTGGGGCTAATTGATTAACAATGTCGTTTCCTGATAATCTTGTAGCAGAAGATTAGGCAGTACAAATTTATTATATTATTGTTTGGCCTACTAAAATAATGGAGCATTGGTGTTTGATTTTCATATATCAGTTTTACTTTACCAGTATATAGCAGCCATTACTATCAAATGAGGTCGGATGATATTAGAGGAAAGTTCCTTCCAGAATTTTATAATCTTTGCCAATTTGATTGTAGGGGACCATGATTTGTCCTCAAAACCAGATATTGTGAAATTGCCTAGCTACAAGAAACATGGATTCCTCTAAGTTTCGAAGCTACAACTTGCCATTGGAAAATCTATACATATATGATGCATATAATTAAGTTTAAGAAGGAAGAGGGTTTTTGAACCTTGTACCTCTCATTCTAAGATTTAAACGCAAATTTTTTAAATTGAAAATTTAAATTTTAACTGCTCGATTTTATGGATACTTTATTAAATAGTTAATAGCGTATTATTGATGTAACTAGATTAAACATCTTATGTTTCATTATATAACTTGATCGATAAATTTTATATTGTCATTTTCATATTTAAATTCAAGATTGTCCAAATTAAATTTTGAACTTTAATCATTGGATGCTACATCATAGACATGTTAGTCGAAAAGCTAATTTAGTACTAGCAATTTTATTTATCAAAGATCGAAATTTGGATGGCTTACGATTAGTTGCTTGAGTGTTGGTGAAGAAACTCAAATTCCAATAATATGTTAGATAGGTCTTTGCCCTTCAACAAGGGCATATTGATGATGATGATGATGATGTTTTTGTTGCCATTCCAAAATCAAAATCGCAAGTCCAATGTGACAGTCCAATTACACTTTGAATCTTTAAAGAAAGCAATCATAAATGGCCCCTCACTCTCAGTACTCTCGCTCTCACCGCCGCGCTTGCTTGTTGGGTTGGTGAATTACATATATTCAGCCATCTACCATCATTTAGTAGGTTTAACCAACATTCATTAAATCATATGCATGCACACAGACACATCTCCCATGCATTTCTTCAACCACTAAATATGTAAATACCCACACTATCTTCCCTTAGATATCCTTGGGGTTTTCCAATCTTGTAGATATTACTCATCTAAAGTCTTATTTCTTACCAATTATATGATTTAAATCTTGATGTACATGTTAATTTCAAGAATTTTGATTTTGAATTATATGAATATTAATTTTCAATGAAATTTTTTGTTGGTTAAAATTTGATTTAAATTTTTACGTACATATTAATTTTAAGAATTTTGATTTGAATTACATGAATATTAATTTTTAATGAAAGAATTCGTCAGTTAAAATTTGATTCCATCTTCAAATTCTTGGATTCATGGATTAGTTCTTGAATTTTCATGTTTCATTGGTATAATTTTGTGGTTATATATCTTTATTTAATTTTCGCATGCATGCCAATTTTAAAAATATTGATTCTTTAACTATGAACATTTTCAAATGGAACATTTCAACGGTTAAAACTTCAAATTCTACAATGCTTCAGATTCAAATACTAAAATGGACAAAGTAAGACTTGTGAGATGCAAGAGAATTATCTTTTATTGTTTTATTATGTAGCTCAAATCTTTATTTAAAAAATGATATGAATTATTGATTTATAAGTGCTGATGTATAGAGTTAAATTTGAAAATATTATTTAATTTTCAATGTAATCATCAGTTGTGATTATTTGTGCAATTTTCAAATACATATTAATTAGTGGTACATGCATGTATTATTATTTTTTTTAAAAAATTAAATCCTTATTTATACATATGAAAAAAGGATAGTCCCAAAAGAGCTAGTGTTTATCTCTAGTACTTGAAAGAGGTATATATGATAAGACAAGTGTGGGAGCCAAATGATGACCTGTTTAGACTATTCGTTTTGGTTGATCTAGAGCCTCAATCAAATATCCTTCATGCTGGCAAGCTGAGCCTACTCATTTTGGTATCTTTTACTAGATAGAAGTAGTCAATATCTAGACAGAGTTTCTTACATAAATTATTAAAATTTTAAATGGATTTCATAAAAAATGGTTTATTTCTAACACATTATTGAAAAATTAATTTTTGAAACCTAAAATCATTTACTTAGTCATATCTATTAGTGTAATTAAATTAAGCAATGAACTTAATTATACTAGTGGAACTAATGTGAAATGTACAATATTTTTGTCCAAAGACTTCTAAATATTGACCAGATCATTAGGTTTGGACAAATAATCCGACGAATAAATTTACTTGTTTTGTGCTCAATTTTTTTTTAATTTAAGAGAATATTTGATATGAAATAATTTATTTAAAAATTATAGTGATTTGTATTTAACAATTACTTCATTCTGTTTGGTAACAATTTAGAAATCCTAAGTATCAGTGATATTAAATCATTAGGGTGATAAAACTACTATTGTGGGGAGTGATATGAGTTCCAATATAAAGGATGTGAAAGTTTAACACCATGGGAAAGTAATTTTTAATATTATTTTCTAATTAAATTACCCTTTTGAAAATTATAGTTAACATTACTCTAAGAAACTGGTTAGTAAAAATTTAAAAAAATCAATTTTTTAATCACTTATTTTAAAAAAGTTTTAAGTTATAAATTTATATTGATTAGAAAAAAGATAATGAATTTATTTAATAATTTTTTAGAAATTATTTTTATCAAATTGATTTATATTGTGTAATTTTTTTATAAAATAGTGTTTAACTATTTTATAAATTATTAATTCAATAAATATTATATATTTTACTTTTTTTGCAAGGTTATTTTAGATATTTTGTATTGTATAATTTATTTTTTTTATATAATACTAAATACAATGATTTAAAAATACTAGTGACTTATAATATTATATCAAACATGACAATATAAAATTATAGTTGATCAAATTATCTTGGTGATCTTATCACCATAATAATTAGATTTTTTCAATGATCTTAAAAATGATACCAAATGCAACCTAAATGTAAAGAATGGAAAACAAAGCTACTTGAATCTTAAATTCTTTTACTTAAATCCCTAGGAACAAATCAATGCATTTATTAGAAATTTAGAATTAGTAAGGCTCGTTTTGGAAGATTTTTTGCATTTTGTTATTTGTCTCTGATTTTTTATTTTTTTATTTGTCTCTTTCTATTATGTTTTGCAAAGAAAAAATAAAACTAAAAGCATTTACCAAATCCTTTTAAAGTGTTTTAATCCCAATATAGAGAACAAGTGTATATTA